TAGTGATAGTGATAGTGATAGTGATAGTGATAGTGATAGTGATAGTGATAGTAAAACTATCATTAGCACTCACTTTCGTTAATTTCCTATGATTCTCATGAGGAAATAAGAGTTTGAATGAGAAAGAAAATTCGCGAAGCATTTTGGTAGTGGTAGTAAGATGAGGCCACCATGGAAACGGCCTACTGAATTGGATAACAAAATGAGTTTTTGAATTCCCCAAACTCACTTAAAATATACCATCCACTAGTTATTACTTTGTCTTCTGAGCTGGCCATGTCCAGCAACCCCAGCACATCAATGTCCTCACCCACTCCTATTGAGTAAATTTCGACATCTTTCGATTTCAGGCCATTGGAAGCTTCGTATAGATTCAAAAACTGACCTCTGTTCTTTGTTTGTATGCCATCTGTTATGACAACGGCAACCTTAAAGATCATAAGACAAAGAATGGAAACGTCACGAGGGAATACAAAAACAAAATATTAAATTGTAACATAGTTAATGGAGCGGAATGGTTGGGAAACCCATTGTCCTCTGTTTTTGTTCGACTTTATCCATTGTTATATGACGTTGACGGTGCACAGAAAAGGAAAAGTTGCTCCGTTTGTTCATAGTATTCGGGAATATAGAAGTTTTTAACCCTAAAAAAATAATTTCTAAAATAATTATTATTTGATAATTAATCCTATATTATTAATACAAATTGTTTATTTAAAAAGGAAATTGCCTTTTTTCATGCCGTTCTTATTTATCATCTAGTAACTTAGCTGTATCTGCGCGGAAATATTCATCCGCTTTGTTTGTGGTCATCGAATGTTAGTTTTCACTTTCAAAATGTCCATACATAAAAATAATAAGGAAATGAGTATTTTCAGCCATACTTGCTTTGGTTCATTGTGCACCCTCAGTATCACGTGATGGTACGGTTCAACATCAAACGCAAAACAACAGATTTGTTCTATGGAGTTTCCAAACCATTCCGTTCCATTAACTATGATTGTAATTTGTTAACAGCATTTAAAAAGACGAGTAGAATAAAAAATGATAAATATGGAGAAGAAGAAGAGATTGAGACGAGGGGGAAGAAATAGATAATAATAATGATGATGATAATAATGATAATGAAAAAGAAGACTAAATAACATTAAAAAGGTGATCCTTGATACCTTGAAAAGTGATATAGTATAATTCTTGATCTTACCTTCCTGGCTTTCTGTCTCATACCAGCCTCAACAGTAAACACTTCTTTCTCTGCTGCAAGAAGTGCTCTATCAATAAACTTATAGCCTGTTTTTCTTTTTAAACCATCGATGTCACCATTGATCTTTTCACGGCTGAGATCTGATCCGTTGTATTTGTTGAATTTCATATCAATTTGTGGTTCGGTGTTGAAGGTCATGACAGCAAAATGATTACCGTCTTCAGATGCACCAAATTCATCCACAATCTTCTTAGACATACGTAACGTCTTTTTCCAAGTAGATGAGCTAAGTCTAGCATCCAGTATGAATGCAATGTCCATTCCAGCAGAGCAAAGATCTTTGGAAAAAGAAAATACATGCATTTATTTAAAAGAACGCACCGTCTATGGAAATGCTGACCGGCTTGGATGACTTGAACTCAGTGATCCAAGCCAGGACACAGCTAACTTAAATATCAATATTTACAACTATAAAAATGCAGGTACTTAGCGAAAGAGGAATAATGTTTTTTTTTAATGACTTAGTAACTTCAGTTGTTTTAAATTCTTTACTAACCTTCGTGTTTGGCCGGTGCTGGAAAGGCATCGTTGATGAGGCACAACGCAATGAACGCAACAAACAGTCTGACCATGATTCAAGCAGTATTCAGTCACACTTGAGGATACTTCGAGCAATAAGGTGCAATACTTCACAGCTAAAGTTTTCTTCTGTTTTCTTCGGATCGTTCTGTACTGATCTGAATACACAGCCAAATATCCTGCCTTTTATTGGGTCCCATTATGCTCTTCCGGAACTTCATTTGATCTCTTCCCGATAGGCGCGGTACCGGTTTGGCTCTTGTCAAGCTTTAGCACATAAGGAACCGGATAGCACACGTCCACACAATGACCTCATGGTGTTCTTTGCAACGACAAAAAGAAATTAGGTCCGGAACACCTGGAACACCCCGGAACCCTAAAGGAAATCACTGATTTATGCCCAGAACCCCCAGAACACGAGCTGCAGAACACAATGTAAATTATACGGAACACAATGAAAATTGGAATAGTCCCCAACATATTTTCCATCTTGAAAGGCTGCCGTGCCTTTGCATCGAAGAGATATATATATATACAGACGAAAATGAGGCCCGACAAAAGGTTATTCCCCCCCCCCCCCYT